ATTTTTTTTTCATGCATTACAGCTTCTTCACCTGGAACACGAGTACAGAACAAGAATACAGAAAGACGAGGGCTTGGTACTGTACCCTGACTCATGTAATAACATCAAAAGTCATTCAACATGCAGTCCTTGTTATAATCACATTCTCTCATTCAGTTAAAGGCCTCAAAAGTTTAGATGTGAGGAGCAGAGACACACCACGAGGTGAGACTGTGTGTGTGCTATTGAATTGAAAGGAAACATTCTTGAGTTAACATCAGACATGCAGTGTGGGTCATGACCATGGATGAAACAATAACTTGTGTGTACATGGTTTAAAATTGCACCACATCCTTGCTATAGACAAAGGAATCCCAAGGTCACCCAGACCTCAGGACAAACAGAGGAGAGAGGAAAGAGAGACAGGTAGGTCCATTCAGCTTTGCCTGGCAGGTGGTCACCTTAACTCTTTTTTAAAGGTCAAGAATTCCTGTTAATAAAGCCGGAAATGTTTTCATTTAAATGCCAGTTTCTTGTACCTTTCTTCATATTTTATTCAAGGCACTACTGCAGTCTGTTACACTGCAACTTTAGACTAGTCTGAGAAGTCATATTACTAGAAGCTATTACCTGATGATAACCCAACCTTGATCTAACATATCCTCCAAAACAGTGAGGGACCCCAACCCCAGATCTAGCCCTAGACCCAGCCCGACTCCCAGTCGCAGGGAGTCCCAGTCTCTCTGGAGCAGGTCCAGTCAGAGTCGTGCTGCCCCTGCTGCAGCTCAGACACCAGTCACCCCTGCTCCAGCTCCAGCTCCAGCATCAACTGGAGGTACAGTGACTACTAATCCTCAGAATTGCTTCCATTTGCTGCCACTGACTGGTCAAACCTGTGTAGTGTAGCACTGACAAACAGATGTTATTTCCATTGTTCTACTCTGCCTTCTCCCCCTGGCTTGGTCAGGTTTCAGTCGGATGGCATCAATCAGCAGCATCTTCCGCTCCCATCGACGTGGCACAAACCAGGCCACCCCTGCTGCCCCAGATAATAACACACCATCTGCAGGAGGAACCCAATGTAAGGCCTGACTCCAGCTCTCTCCTCTAGACACTACAGTGTCTGGTTGGCTTCATACAGAAAACATAATAAATCCATTTCGGAAAAACATTGCGTGTACATTACCTTTTGTACTGTCTAAGTGTGTGACTGCTCAACAGGGGGGATGCCTGCTCTACCTGAAACACCAACAGAAGGTAAGATGGCAGCTTTGAACACAAAAAACAATTGTCTGTCATGTTCAGTCCATTTGTGTGTTACACTTACATACTTAACATTTTCCAACAGTTAACCCCAGTCTCTTCTTGGATTCAAACAACTCTTTCAGTCACGCTGCTGCTTTCCCTGCATGTGAGTAAATGTATTCTGTCTTCATGGTAACTCTGCAACAAAACAACAAGAAGTCACAAATAATAATGAACAAAATCCAAAGCTTCTTATGACTTGTACCACATAAAACAAAGCAGAAAATTATATATAAATAAAGCAAATCATTACGCGTGTACTAAAGATTGTGTGATATTTTCAGTGAGAGAAATCAACATTGACAGCATCCAGGCCCCAGAGCCGAGGACAAGAGAGGAATTCTTGCAGTGTAAGTCTCAATGTTCAACCAGAACACTACATTTATTAGATGAGTTAAGGATGAAAGGAGTTTATACAGTGCCTTGCGAAAGTATTCGGCCCCCTTGAACTTTGCGACCTTTTGCCACATTTCAGGCTTCAAACATAAAGATATAAAACTGTAATTTTTTGTGAAGAATCAACAACAAGTGGGACACAATCATGAAGTGGAACGAAATTTATTGGATATTTCAAACGTTTTTAACAAATAAAAAACTGAAAAATTGGGCGTGCAAAATTATTCAACCCCCTTAAGTTAATACGTTGTAGCGCCACCTTTTGCTGCGATTACAGCTGTAAATCGCTTGGGGTATGTCTCTATCAGTTTTGCACATCGAGAGACTGAAATGTTTGCCCATTCCTCCTTGCAAAACAGCTCGAGCTCAGTGAGGTTGGATGGAGAGCGTTTGTGAACAGCAGTTTTCAGTTCTTTCCACAGATTCTCGATTGGATTCAGGTCTGGACTTTGACTTGGCCATTCTAACACCTGGATATGTTTATTTGTGAACCATTCCATTGTAGATTTTGCTTTATGTTTTGGATCATTGTCTTGTTGGAAGACAAATCTCCGTCCCAGTCTCAGGTCTTTTGCAGACTCCATCAGGTTTCCTTCCAGAATGGTCCTGTATTTGGCTCCATCCATCTTCCCATCAATTTGAACCATCTTCCCTGTCCTCTGGTCAGATGAAACCAAAATCGAACTTTTTGGCAACAATGCAAAACGTTATGTTTGGCGTAAAAGCAACACAGCTCATCACCCTGAACACACCATCCCCACTGTCAAACATGGTGGTGGCAGCATCATGGTTTGGGCCTGCTTTTCTTCAGCAGGGACAGGGAAGATGGTTAAAATTGATGGGAAGATGGATGGAGCCAAATACAGGACCATTCTGGATGGAAACCTGATGGAGTCTGCAAAAGACCTGAGACTGGGACGGAGATTTGTCTTCCAACAAGACAATGATTCAAAACATAAAGCAAAATCTACAATGGAATGGTTCACAAATAAACATATCCAGGTGTTAGAATGGCCAAGTCAAAGTCCAGACCTGAATCCAATCGAGAATCTGTGGAAAGAACTGAAAACTGCTGTTCACAAATGCTCTCCATCCAACCTCACTGAGCTCGAGCTGTTTTGCAAGGAGGAATGGGCAAAAATTTCCGTCTCTCGATGTGCAAAACTGATAGAGATATACCCCACGTGACTCACAGCTGTAATCGCAGCAAAAGGTGGCGCTACAAAGTATTAACTTAAGGGGGCTGAATAATTTTGCACGCCCAATTTTTCAGTTTTTTATTTGTTAAAAAAGTTTGACATATCCAATAAATTTCGTTCCACTTCATGATTGTGTCCCACTTGTTGTTGATTCTTCACAAAAAATTACAGTTTTATATCTTTATGTTTGAAGCCTGAAATGTGGCAAAAGGTCGCAAAGTTCAAGGGGGCCGAATACTTTCGCAAGGCACTGTAAATCCATGCAAAGGTGAATATATTTGACAACCCAGTCCGAGCTGAAGCTTATTCCACCACTTTTTTACTGTATCCCATGGTCATGATCAGCAGATGGAGTTTGCTCAGTTGCTATGGAGATGGAAAGCTCAGTACCTGATATCATTTCATTCATAGCTCTTTTAAGACTTAAGAGATTAAGCATAAAAGTTAATTCCTGACATTGGAAACTGTGATTTGACAAAAAAAAAAACTAAGAAAAGAAAAAAATCCCAGCTCAAAGTCCACTGGAACATACAGAATGGTCTTCATTAATCTGTAAACCAGTATGGAAGCTATAAAAGCATTATCAAGCTACTGACCTAGCATGTCATCAGACTTCCCTCCAGGACAACTGAGCAGACACCATTTGCTGAAGAAGACCAAATTGAAAAAAACCTAGCTCGTGTGCTTTGAGTGGGGACTGTGAAGTCAATTTTCTAAGGTCAAGACTTAGGGAATATACTTAATTTTCAAGAATTGTTCATTAAACCCTTGCTCTTCCAGATGCTGTGACCTTGACCCTTGACCCCAATACAGCCCACCGACGGCTGGCTCTCTCCGAGGGCAACACCAAAGCCACCCTACAGGGGTCAGCGCAGCCCTACCCTGACACTCCCCAGCGTTTTGATGGCTGGACCCAGGTGATGTGCGACAGATCGCTGGGCGCCCAGCGCTGCTACTGGGAAGTGGAGTGGAGAGGGAGGGGCTCCTCTATGGGCGTAGCCTATGGGGCATTGAGCAGGAAAGGATCAGATGCCAGGTCGGGGCTCGGCTACAACGCCCAATCCTGGACCCTGGAGCTGTCAGACACGTGCTGCTCAGCCATGCATGACAATGAGAAAAGGGACATACCAGTCACCTACTCCCCACGTATGGGCATCTACCTGGACCTGTCCACAGGAATGCTGGCGTTCTACAGCGTTGCAGAGAGCATGACACACCTACACACCTTCCGGGCTAACTTCACCCAGCCACTTTACCCCACCTTCGGGGTGGGGAGTGGTGTCGGGGTGGGCCTGGACTTTGCCCTTGGCCAGTTCAGTTCCAGTTCTGACAGTATTAAGATTTGTGACATGTGAGACTACAGGCTGGAAGGTGCAGTGATTGGTGGACTATGGTGCTATGAACAGCAGCTGGCTTCAGGTGTTCATGCTGACCAAACTCACCTTAAACTGTCAGGACACAGTGACTAAACATTTTTTAAGTTTAGTTGCACCTGACCTTTTTATTTTCATATCTTAAATGCAGTTTTAGTGAAGTTGCACAAAAAGAAAACATTGCACTGTTTAGAGTCTTAATTTTTAGATGAGTTGCTGCATGTTTGTTCATCAAGCTATGAGTAATAAACCAGCCAGTGAGTAAGTGGCTTTATTTCCATTGCTTTATTTTTTATTTTTTCAAAAGAGGCAGGTCAATAATAGTTAGGAGTAGTACACAGAGGGTCATGATATTAGAGGGGAGACATGAAGAGGACATTTTATACTGTAGCTGACCCTTCTGCTTTACTGGAAAAGAGGGGAAATGACAACAACAGCTAATCTAGATATGAACTGTTTGAATCCTTTCTCTTCTCTCTGATCCCACAAACACACAAAATATTAAACTGAAGCTCTTCTTCCTTTAATAAATATTTTACAGCAAATTAGCACAAAATGCATCACATATACACATTTAAGCCAGAGTATTCAGATCCTTCAAAAATAAAAATAAAAAAACTGTTGGCTTTAATTTGGATTCCCTTCTGTTGGCCTCTTCTAGAGATGGAGAACAAAAAATATATACTGCTGCAAATATTAAAATGTTGTGACAAAATGTTAGCCCACATTGATACAACAGGCACACATTACACTAAATCTTATTAATATTAGAATCTATATACTTCAAATAGTGATGTCTGTAAAACATAGGATCAAAAAAGTGCTGCAACAGAGAGGGGCTGATGAATGTTAAGGACAACAGCAATGAAGGATCACAGGGTTTGAACACAAGGCTCCAAGTTTCCATGTATTAAATGAACTTTTAAATATTATCCTACAGGAATAGTTCCACCTGCTGGCCAAAGTATGCAACCACAGGTCCTTGAGGTAAGCCTGAAACATTTAAAAGAGAGAAAATGAATAAACCTGATTACGACACACAACTAAAATATCATCAGTGGTTTTTCCCCTCTAAACAGACTGAGCCTCAACATCCCATGGGGCTTCCTTCTGAAGCGCAGTTCCCCTATAAAGGTCAAACCACGCAAATTCCCCCAAAAATGAATACAAACTTACTGAGGGCAACTAATATGTATAAAGATGGCTTAACAGGGACACAAATCAGAACAGTGCTGGCTTCTACTTAAGGCCTCATACCATTAAAGACGCACTTGACATATGGCCCTGAAGGAAAAAGCAGACTGCCCTAGCTTTTGTGCCGTGTCTGATTTGGTTCTGACCTTACCTTTTGCCACGCCCCACAGATTTGCCAACAGGTGCATGCTGGCATCTGGAGGCCAAGATGTTTTTAATGTGTCAGTCAGACACTGGCAAGAGGTGAGAAGGGAGCATGGCACATGGATGGTCATTATCTGTGCAACAAAGGTCTGCTGACAAATCATTATAATATTAATATAGTCATGTTTCCTGGCAGTATGTTGTTGAAGCCAGGTAACATTCAAAGTATTCTAACCTCAAGCAATAAACGGTTTAATCCCCTCAAGCAATAAACGGTTTTTCATGTTGAGGCAGAGGTTCTTAAACAAGTCACTGTTATGGGCATGGTTGGCTTGCAAGATACTGTTTTATTAGAGACTAAAGCTTTTCCAAATCAGAACAAGCCCTTGAAATAGCAGGTCTGGATGCTCACTCTTTTTCTCTTCACTTTCTCTTCTTCCATGAATAAACCACACTCTCCCTTTCTTTCATTCACCTGACTTCACTCTTGTTCTTTCCTAATCCACTTCCACAAACCTTCACTCACTTACGTTTCTCCCTCTTGTCTACCTGTGCCTGAACATGCAGAGCCTCACAGGAAAACTACAGAAGCTAACTAGAAGGTACTGAGAGCTGAATAACCCACTGAGAGGCAAGCTAAGGCTGTAATACCTAGCATCATCTCTACTCACACAGATACTGTAGTATCGCTAAAAGTAGTCAGTTCAGTTAAATTGTGCTTTAAAATTAAGACACAAACAGGAAAGACTGTTCTGCTCACTGATGCCCTGACCCCTGAATACTGATGAAGGTGTAAAGAACAAGGTTCATGTTTTAGAGTCCATCCCCTCTTCAGCGTTTGGCTGAACTTGACGGGGCATGAGATACAGAGGCAAGACGGCGGCGGCGCTCTTTAAGGTTACCCCATGGTGGAGGGGGGAGGGCCAGAGAGGTTGGGTGAGGTGGAGGTGTAGAGGTACTGGCTGACTTTGCCACCTGGGCACCAATCATAGCCGGGAGGCTCTGGTTGCGCCTCAGGCCGTCCAAGAGGCTCCCCCCACCTGCTGACACAAAAGTGGCAGAGTCCTGGCGTGGCACTGAAGCCTCAGACTCTGAACCATGGAGCACTTTAGTGAATCCCAGCTGCCGCAGCCTCTCCACCAGTCCGACACTGCCTGAGTCGGCCCTGGCTCGGGTTGACTTGGGGGGAGGGACATGGGCTGGAGTTTCCTGGGAGGGGCTCGGTAGGTTGGGATGTGGGGCGCGGCCCAGATTTAACCCATAAACATCCTGAAGAAAAAGTTCTGCTGGCCGTGAGGCTAGGAAAGTGTCAGCAGGATGTTGCCGTGATTCCATGGGCATAGGAGAGGGAGCAGGTGAGTGGGAGGGGGAGTTAGGAGGTGTGGTTGGCAGAAGACAGAAAAGGGGCTGCCGAGGATCTGGTCTCAGGGATGAAGGAGGGGTGTCGGTGGACACTTGTGCAGAAATGCCCCTCTCAAGGACCAGCTTGGCCAGGCCACTGGTTGGCGCAGGGGGGCGTCGAGGGGGGAAGCAGCCACCCAGGCTCAGCCTGCAGGGAGTCACAGGGGTACTGGGACCTGTCCTCATGGAGCTTGGTGTATTGGCCAAGAGAGAGGACTGAGAACTGAAACACAGATGACAAGGTGAGTAGCAAAGGGGGCAGAGCTTAATGAATGGTCAGCTGGATGCATTAGCCGCTACCTAGGCTCTCTATGGATCCCTTCAATCAGTGGGTTTAAATCTGCTGCAGGCCCTTGTAGGATGTCACTCTCATTATTCTGTCATCCTGTCATTACTACATAATAAAAAGTAAATATGACATAAAAGGTTTCTTTATTGAAGTAGAGTTACCTTGGGGTGACCTGTGTGACGTCACTGGGGTGCAGGATGCGGCAGGTTGTGAAGGTGTAAGTGGAGAAGGTGGAGCTCTGAGACTTCCCAGGATTTTGGACTGAGCACAAAAAAAAAATCTGATTATGAGAAAAACAAACTCACAGTGGCAACTATAAAAATCCTTAATGAACCAGATGTCAATACTTCAGGTAATATTTACCAGAGGAGGAGGCTGTTGCTGCTACTGATGTGCAAACCTGACCGACTGCAAAAGCTCCTGGAATGGGCGGAGGTGACAGGCTGGATGTCTCTGTGGTCACACAGAGGTCTGATCTGACTGAGAAGGAAGTAGCAGGTGTCCCACGTGATGTCGGCAGGGTGGCGGACAGAGGTGGAACAGGGGAAGCAGACATCGACTGCTTTCTGTCTTTCTTCTCCTCTGGTGTAGATGAAGAGTACACAGTGAACGTGATCCCACCCTCCTCCTCTTCCTCTTCTTCCTTACCTCGCTCTGCAGCCCCCTTCTCCAGGATACCAATCCCATTGTGCTGTTCCTCTTCCTCATCCTCCTCCATGTCAGACAGGCGGTAGACAGCATCCTGAGCCAGTGGACGGAAACCCTTTGTCACTACACCAGGGTGTGGGTCCAGGATGGTGGCCAGATGTGGCTGGGGGGGG